GACCGTTGAAAGAGACAGACAGGATTTATCAGACAAATTCCACAAATTTTTTGTTTTCGCATTTCCATGCGAGATTAAAGCCTTAAAATAACCTATGGACTTCTGCAGTGTAAGTAATTTTTACAGATTTTTTTGGCCAGCTAGCGGCACTCTGCGATTTTCTGGCACCAAACTCAAAATTGCAAATTTTGAAGTCCCATATTTGAGAGCTTCGTTCTCAGGGGCTAGCTCATGAAATCTTGCGCTTAAACATCCTTCATGGAGCGCATGCCTTCTAATATTTTTAGAAAATAAGATTGTGAATTTGGAGGGGTTTAGTCATTGAAAAGTTATTGAATTTTGTTTGAATTACGCAAGAACTTTCGAGCCAACCTAATATTTCCCCAGTTTTTTGAAAAATCACGCTCCGAAAAACCTAAATTCGAGTTTCAAATATAAGTTCGGTACCCAACCACAAATTTTGAAATCTCAACCAACGCTTGGCCTTAAATAGTCAGATTTAAGCGATATGAGTTGTCTAAATTGACTTCGCCTGCAAATTATCAGATCTTTGGCTGCACAAATTCACACAGCATATCACAACCTCCATTGTGGTTCGCCATATAGCCAAAGATTTTGCACATCCATCTTCCAACTTGATGACTAGAAATCTTGACTATTTGTACTTGAGTTTAGGGGCATGGAGCTACCATCTCACAAAGAAAATCTCAGCTGAAAAGCTACTACTGTGCAAGTCAAAACGAACTTATTGGATGCTATATTATTATATTATATTATATTATATTATATTATATTATATTATATTATATTATATTATATTATATTATATTATATTATATTATATTATATTATATTATATTATATTATATTATATTATATTATATTATATTATATTATATTATATTATATTATATTATATTATATTATATTATATTAGGTTGTCCCGAAAGTTTTGTCGGTTTTTTCAAACCACTACAAAACCACGCACAATAAACACCTAAGCGAGTTTTAACATACATTCGATGCAGCTTTTTCTTCTCTTTCTTATGGATACATTTTAGAGCCACAACCTTGTATGCTCTTTTCGATATTTGTTAAATTCTCCATCCGCCAATTTTATTTGGTCAAAGATCGGGTAATTTTCAAAAACTTCATTTAAAAGTTTCCAATATGGTCAAGTATGATTCTAACAGAGCAATTCTTGGACTAAAAGGCCATATTTTTAGATTCTCCTAATCTGCTGTTTATGCCTCGAAAAAAATTATTTCTTAAGAGGTCTCGATTTTTGGCAAAGTCATGAAACACGCAACTGCAGCAAATTCACGGAGTATTCAAAGTTTCTCCGAATTGAAAAATGATTCCTGTTAAAGATCATTTATGCAACATGACCAAGTTTGATTTGCATTGAAAAAGCAGCTTTTTGGAATTTTTGGTACTTTTACGTGGTAAATGTAATTAAAAAGTCGCGGTTTTTTTAATAAATAATTATAACAGAAGTACTCTGCGTTGATACCACTGCTT